TAGACCAAATTGAGTATATCCCAATATCTTGTAAACAATGAATAGAAGACCCAAATATCACATATTCTATAACTTTTAAAAATATTCACTCTAATAGCTAAACAGAAAATAGAATTAGAATTAGAAAGAGAGGATTTGATTAAGCCTACCTATACAGCAATCCAAGTAGATAATACCTTTATACAACTAGAAGACCAACTTATAGCAAATATAAAGATGAAAAATATTAATAACTCTCTTCAATATCAATCTGATGATATATTTAAACATACAACCAGAAATAAATGAAATAGAAAAGAAAAAGAATAAAAGCCAAAAACTTTCTATTTCTATTTCCAATAATAAAAAAACTTTTATTGGCTATACTCTTAATGATCAACAACAACAAACTATAACTCAATTACTTCTTGACAATATAAAGATATTCGCTACTAAATTTTCTGAACTTCAAAAAACTAATATTGTATACTACACTATCTATACTGGTGAATCATATTCTATTAAGCAACAAGTATATAAAGTATTACCTATAGAACAACAATATATTAAAAAGAAAATTATACAAATAGAAAAAGATAGTATAATTTGAAAATCAGAAAGCCTATGGAGTTCACCTGTTGTTTTAGTTAAAAAGAAAAATAAAAAATTAAGATTCTGTGTAGATTTTAGAAAATTAAATAATGTTATCAAAAAAGATACTTACTTTCTATCATAAATTGATGAAATGCTTGATAATTTGGGTAATGCTTGATAGTTTATATCTCTTGATTTAACTTCTGGTTATTGGCAAGTAGAAGTTAAAGAGAAAGATAAAGAAAAGACTGTATTTATTACTAAATATAGTCTTTATGAATTCAATGTGATACCTTTTGGACTTTCAAATGCCTCTCCACATTTCAAAAACTTATGAATATTATACTATAGTCTGTTCTTTGGAAAAAAACTATGGTATATATTGATGATGTAAATATAGTCAGACCTCTCTAAATGCAAGTTGTTGGGACTAGCTCTAGAGTATACATTTAGGGAGGGTTGCAATTAGAAAACACTAATAAAATCATAATATTACTATTATCATGTGATAAATATAGCTTTAGTAGCCTAGAAAGGATGAATTTGATTGGCTGATAATCACATGGTTGCATTTATAGAGGGAGTTTTTATAATTGGCCAGGCAATTAGTGTGCAATTGCAGAATAAAGAACATGTATTTATCTATAAATTCCATCATGAGGCTAGTCTTTTATCATGCATTTAGAGAGGTATTGCATTTAGAGGGGTTGTATTTAGAGAGGTCTGACTGTATCTACTCAAATTTATTTAAACAATACATATTAGATATACAAGAAGTGTT